CCTCCTCCTCCTTCCCCCGCCCCTCCTACTCCTCCTCCCATCTCCCTGCTCTGCCCCGCTCCTGCAGAGCTCTCCTTGTTCGTGCCTCAATGCAGCTAGCCCCCAAAACGGCTGCCACCTCCAGAACGACACGCCGAAAAGCGCTCGCCACTCAACTGACTAAGCTAAGGCACCTCCTCCACAGGTCTTCGGAGGTCTCTGCAGGTCCCTGGGGCTGCCTCCAGGGGCATTCGGAGGCAGAGACACGTATTGTACAAGTTTGGCTGCACAAGCTCCTGCTCCCAGCTGCTGCGATTCCTTGTCCTCCTGGGAATCCTGCTCTTCAAGTCGCTGGGAATCCTCTTCCCCCTCCTCCTCCTCCTCCTCTTCCTCCTCCTCCTCCTCCTCCTCCTCCTCCTCCCAGCTGCTGCGGCTTGAAGTTTGATATGCACGCGGAATAGCAAGAAGTTCAAGCCAACAATTTAGCGATAACTCCTGGTTGCCTTTCTGGCATCGCCGCTATAATAATGTTGTTCGTTACCCTTCCTCCATGCTTCTTTTTCCTGATGTTCGCCATGCCCTGCGCATTCTCCCCATCTTCCTCAGCTCTTTTTTGCGGAGGCTCTTCCTTGGAGAGCCTCTAGGGGCCTCACAAAAGTTGATTCAGGCTTTCTTAAGGCCTTCTGGAGGCCTCCTGGGCGTACTCTGAGGGCCTCCGGGGGCTTCCTCGGGCCACCCTGCCTCCAACCGCGGTCTCCCTGAACGACCGAATCACGATTTGAAATTCTTCGGAGGGTGTCTTTGGGCCATCTTGGGCCGCCATGTGGCTCTCTGAGGGCCATCTTGGACCCGTGTTGTGCCGTTTTGGGGCTCTCTTGGACTGCCTGGAAGCCCTTTCGGATGGTTGTGGGGCGATTTTGGAGCCTCCCAGGCGGCTTCGGACGCCCAGAAGACCGCCGTCTTGGAGCGTCGGGAAGCCGAAAAGAGGAGAACCCTAAAATTCACAAAAAAAACCAACAGAAAATCAATGATTTTTGCCGCGGGGGGCCTTCTTGAGAGTGCTCTTGGAGGCCTCTTTGGGGCCGTCCTGGAGGCCTCTTAGGCCATCTTGAGGTCACGCCGGTCACTCTTGGAGCGCTCTTGTGCTGTCTTGGGGGTCTCTGGGACGTCTAGGATGACCGCCCCTGATCGCCCTAGGTGCGCTGGGAAGGCTTGGCAAAACACCATGTGAGGCCCGGTGGCCGTTTCGAGGCCCGTCTGGAGGTTCCCAAAGCCCCAGATCCCGGGAGTCCGGTTTTGGGGGGGGGGATGGGTTTTCCCCCCGCCCGGGCTTGTAAAAATATAGGAAGAGGAATACATGCACATACGTACGCATTCCAACTCCTCAATTATGAGATTTACCAACTATGCTTTCTGCAAGACGATATGTTCTCTTCAAACCGTACCATCTACTATGTCATGCTGACCGTGTTCGGAAAAAAACCTAGGCACTTGGACGCAACCAATCGGGAGACCCGGGCGACCTGGAACAAAGAACCCGGGAACCTGGCCGCCCACCGAAGTCGGCCTCGTCCCCGGAATCATCCGTGAACCTGGGAACCCAGCCGCCTACCGAAATCGGTGCCGCCCCTTCGCCCACTCTCTCAAGATCCGCTAGGACCCCTTCAGTGCATGCGCTGCTTGGGGAAAACAGAACTGAGGAGGACGGAGAAAGAAATCATGAGAAGAGGAGGGGAGGAGAAATGATGAACTGCGCCGGCAAGATGCGGCGGCAGCTCGAGCTCGCCGATGGCCAACCGCTCGTTTCTGGGCAAGATTGGGCGCAACGCCCAGCAAGTACCCTTGGTGGGACGCAGGCGCCGCCCGCGCAGAAGCGACGGGCCCGCGGGCAGGTGGTGTGCGCAATCAGAAGAAATACGCTCCTCCTGTGCAGCGCGACCCTGGATGGGACTGCGAAGTATCCCACGACTCTCTCCAGAGGCGAACAGTTCCACGCAACCTGCAAACAACTCTGGGTATTAGAGGGACGGGTGGATATCATGAGCTCGGGCCAAAGGGAGAAGCCAGAAGCCACAATCATCGAGAATTTCAGCGACGAGCTGGAATAGCTTGTTTGGCACGGCTTGTGAACGAGGTGCGCACTAGGAACAGCCCCCTTCTGCGACACCGCACTTTTGGGAGTTTGTGGGTCGCGCCTCTCTCTGCGCGCACTCGACGATGCACACGTCTGACTTCGATCGTTGTCTTTTGCGCCCATGCTGATTCCCTGAGCCCTTGGGGCTGCCACGAATAATACCTAATTCCTTACTAAGCGAGCCAGGCTTCGCGCCTAAAGTCGACGGCCGCCTTGCCGATCAACGATACTGTAGTGGTCAACTCATTCACCTTGGCGTTTCCGTCCGTGCTCTTTCCGTTGTGGGCACCGAGGAAATGACCGAAACCGCAAAGAGAGGCCAAGAACATGCCGATATGGATATGAAGACTGGTTCCGCCGAACAAACTGGACGTGGCAAAGACAACGTGGCGTAACGCGGATAACGCAGCACAGATCGCTGCGAAACTCATGACAAGCTGGTGTGCGACGGATGTGCGCGTCGCTCGAAGCAACGACCACTTTTGGGAACCCCCCGCGCCCCCGCCCACCATGCGTGTAACTGCTAGGAATGTTTAACACGAGTGCGCCCGGCGCCAGGCGAGACTCTCTTACTGTACACGGCATTCTCTCCGTCTGTTGTGACGGTTGGGATATGTTCAAACGAATGCGCGTGGCACTAAGTCGATACCCAGATGTTGGAAGACGCCCTCCATCCATGCGGCTGCTCGAGATCTCAGGCTTCAGGAGCATGACCGGTGAGAAAGTCTCCAACGAAGCGCCTGGCCCGCCCTACCGACGAAGCTGGTGGCGCGACGAGGCACACCTAGTCATGGGAAGAAGAGGTTGGGGAGGAGGAAAGGGAGGAGGAGGGAGGAGGAGGAGGAGGAGGAGGAGGCGGAGAAGGAGAAGGAGGAGGAGTTGAGCGTGCTGATAGGAGAAGGAGGAGGAGGAGGAGGAGGAACAGAGGGGGGAAGGCCCGCGGATTGCAGCGGAGGGCAAGAGGGAGGCACGGATCGGGAGGAGAAGCAGGATGAGGCCCATGGGGGAGGAGGGGCAGACAAGGAGGGAGGGGCTCTCAGGAAGGGGGCCAGGGGTAGAGGAGAGTGTGTGTGTGTGTATGTGTGCTGCTGCTCCTCGCTGGGCCTGCCGCCCGTGCCGCCGTCCGCTTGGACCCCCCCCCCCCCAGCTGTCGCCCTCGGCTGGTCCTCTCTGTCTTCCCGCCCTCGCCGTCCTGCCCCCCCTCTGCCGCCCGCGCCCTGGGCGGCCGCCTGCGACACACTGCCGCTGCCCCCCCCCAGCCCTGCTCGGGACCTCCTCGACCCTGCCCACAAGGCTTCCACCTGGCCCTGGGTGCACACCGCCGCTGCGGGCGGCCTCCGCTTCTCTCCCCGACCGCCTCGCACTGCCGCGCTGGTCTTCTGCGGCGTTTCCCCGTCTCCCCCCCTTTCTCGGGCCGAGCGAGAAGGGGGGGATAGCAAAGGGGGGTATTGAGAATCAGCTCACGTAGCTGATTTTCCCGGCGCCTCCCGGCGCCGGAGGCGCCCATGTGTCGAGGAATGGGCCTGGCGGCGAGGCCGGAACCAGCTGCATGCAGCAGATTTCGTACCCCCCCCCCTTTCCCTATCCCCCCCTTTCGTTCGGACCGACCCTCCCCCCCCGCTGCTCCCATCGCGGGGTGGTGCGGTTGATCCCTTTATAGTTGGAAACAGTATCTCCACGGCGCGTGGTCTGCGCCACGCCGCGCCGCTGCGCGCGCGAGGGCCGCGGCGCCAAACAAGTGTGTGTGTGTGTGTGTGTGTGTGTGTGTGCGTGTGCGTGTGCGTGCGTGCGTGCGTGCGTGTGTGCGTGTGTGCGTGTGCGCGTGTGCGCGTGTGTGCGTGTGTGCGTGTGTGTGCGTGTGCGTGTGCGTGTGCGTGTGCGTGTGCGTGTGCGTGTGCGTGTGCGTGTGTGTGTGTGTGTGTGTGTGTGTG